TTGTTATTCCGAATAAGAAGTTAATTGATAATAATTTTTTTAGATAGTCAGGAAATTCTGTATAGAAAATTAGACGAGTGAAACTAATTTACTCTATGTAAATCATGAATTAACTTTTTTAAGTATAGATTTTGGTCAACATTATTAAACTTTATGCTCGCATGAGAGTACTATTTTTTAAGTACACCGGTGGACAAAATTAAGACATGGAAAGTATTTTCGCACATTCATTCGCACATGCGAGATACCCGCACACCGCTCCATGTGTTTGACAATGGTTCCGTGAATGCCCAGAGGTACAGACAGGAGGTCCTACAGCCCTATGTGCGTCTTTTCAGTGGAACTGAAAAGACGCATGAGTTCATTTTTATGGACGACAATGCGCAACCACATAGGGCTCTCATGGTTGATGAGTATCTGGAAAGCGAGGATATTCAACGAATGGACTGGCCAGCAGAATCCCCTGATCTGAATCCTATTGAACATGCTTGGGATGCTCTTGAGAGAGCTATTGCGATGCGCCAACCTGCCCCCGGAACCATTCTGGAGTTCAAAATTGCTCTGGTGGAAGAATGGGTGGGTCTTCCACAAGTCCTCCTTAACTCCCTTATTAACAGCATGCATATTCGTTGTGCATGCTGTCTGTCTGTCAGGGGAGATCATACACCATACTAGAGGCAACACACACTGTATAAGCCTCACTTCTATTGTCATCTTTTATCCTTAAGTTCAGACTACATTGGATTTATTGGCAATAAGTCTTTCCAGTGAATGGCACTTTCATTTTTGTTTTGCATACTTTATTATCATGGAATAAGCTATATCCATACCAAATTTCATTTATTTATATTCAGTGTTTTTTGAGATATTTGGGAAAATGTCTTCCATCTCTTAATTTTGTCCACCAGTGTAGGTAAAAATTTGATAAATTATTAATTGTTGAAACAGATTAACACAAAAGTTAGCACCAAAGTAAAAAGGGAAATTTTTAAAAAACTGATTTTTTAAAAGAATATCTGATTGAAACAATTTTTTTAAAGTTTTATAAAAGGATTCCGAATCGGAAGAATTCCTTATGTTTATATAACTGTAGTAAATTTGTAAATTTAGAATAGTAAAAACTTCTAAAATTCTTATCACTTAATTCTTTTATTTTCAACCCACATTAGTGCCATTTCTAATTCTAATGATCTCTGATAAAGAGTATTTAAAATAATTAATTATGAGTTTATTATAAAAACGATTAATTATGAGTTGAACTCTTATTACTTAACTCTTTTATTTTCAGCCTATATTAGGGCCATTTCTAATTCTAATAATCCCTCATAAATAGTATTTAAAACCATTTATCACGAACTTTTAGTTTAAGAAATAAAAAGAGAGAAAAATTTGTAGAATAGGTTCAAAAGTAAAATAACAATTTTAATTATTGATTATTTAACGTCAGATTTCATATTAGAAACCTAAATCACATATTTTAGAAAAACTTCGGAAATTTTCTATGGCATTTAAAACCTTGAATTTCAACGATTTTTTTTTTTCACAAATTGTAATTTTCACAAATTTACTTTTTGAAATACGGACTTTACTTTTTGAATTGTCAATTTACTTATTGAATTAAAATTAACTTTTGATTGAATCAGTGTTTTGAAATTGATTTTAAGCGAAAACAGAACTTTATACAAAAAGGAATTAAATTAAATGTGATAATTACTGAATTTAGTTTTTTTCGAAAAATAAATTGTAAAATTTTTTCTAGGTCACACGATGCATATTTTTGGACTTAAATTTAATTAAAAAATAAATAATAATAATTTATATTAACTTTTTATAATAAAATATTAGATTATTTAAGTTCTACTAATTTTTTTAAGCGATAAGATTATGATAAATAATGTGAATATTTTAACGTATGAAAGCTTTTATTTAATGCATTTCAAACTTGTTTATTAATTAAAACATAAATATATAAATTGTAAATACTAATTCAATATTACTTACTTAAAATTTTTTATCAGGATTGGCGAGCTTTAAATAATGCGCAAAAAAGAAAGTACCTGCTTTTGCCATTAGAAAATAGTTGCTAGTATCGTTTCGTGAATTTTGTTTTAACAGAAAAATCAAGTGATATGATATTTAGTGTACAAAGTATATACTAATATCTTTCGCGGTAGTTAGAATGAAACTAATAAAAAAAATTCGGTATTTACTAACAAACTATTAATTTTTTCCTTGTTTAAAGTTTATAACCTTTCTTTAACATTATTCTCTTTCATTATTATGTATATGCTTTTGATTATTATACAAATGTAAATGATTTAAACAAAATGAGTCATTCCTTAATTATGATATAATACAGTTGCATGATGTACCTTAATTTTGAAGCAATTTATGATAAAGATATTTCGTTACCATTTTACTATCCTTGCAAAGTTGAAAAGTTATTTTTTGTTTTGAATTTAAATTGACTTACTTTAATAATAATTTTTTTAGAAGCTGTTTTCAATCAACATATGTGATTAAAATGAAGAATGCAAACTAACTATTAAAAAATTCCAAATAAATATTAGGAATTTATTGTCCACATTTTTGCAAAAAAAATCTAGTTGGCAAAAAATATTTAACGAAATTTTATGACCAAAAAGTAAAAAAATAATTTCAAAAATATGTTCAAAAATAATTTCAAAAATATGATTAAGTTGAAATAACAACCTATCCCAATCTCAATAGCATCGAAAATTAATTATGTAAAACTATATCTGAGTAAATAGAATGAAACTCTTTTGACTCTTTAATTGTATAATTTTTATTTTTAAATAAAAAAAAGTTTGTAGTTTCATGAAACAATAAAATATTAATATTATAAATAAAATATGGAAACAAAAAACAATAAAATATGCGATCTTTGGGATCGGTGAACGGAGCGAGCACTTGGCTTAGCGAAGCGAAGATGTTTCTGAAAATGCGAAACAACCAAAGCAAAACAATCAGCATATTTTTCAAGTGATACAACAACGCCGTTAAAAATTTTCGAACATAGTCTGTTGCTGCGTTTAAACGCATAATCCTACTTCCTAAATCGATTACACGTTACTATTGTTGAGTGAAAAAATAGTTAAATCTAACTATTTATAAAAATTGCTGAAAAGTTTTACAGATTTTTTTTTAAGATGTCTTTCTTTTTTTCTCCTCCAGCATATAAAGAGTCTTAAATTTTAACTTATTAAAAAAAACTAATTTCGAAACGTTATTATTGTAAAATAATTAATTGCTTTGAATAATGTGAATTAGTACATCCTAGATCCCCACCTCAACCGTAATAAATGCAATGTATTAATCTGAAATTAATTTAAGCCATAGATCCAAAATTATGTGAAGTTTAGTCTACAACCACATTACATATCGACGTATTAATGTCGAAATGCTTTGAAAATCTTGTTTAAGCGGCGTTTTTGAATACCCAAGAGCATCCGATGCAATAAGAGGCTGAAAGTCCTCTATTTTTTTTAAACGTGACCCAAAATTAATGGCAAAAGGGGCCTCATAACCCAAGAATCAACATTGTTCATAAAACATTGAGTATTGCATAAAACGAAATAAAACTTTCACTTTTCGTTTTCGAACTAAAAATAAATTATTAATCATTATGGAAATCATTTGAAATCAACATTGTTTGTGAAACATTGAGTATTGCATAAAACGAAATAAAACTTTCACTTTTCGTTTTCGAATTGAAAATAAATTAATATAAGGAAAACAATTTAAGTGGTAATTAATAAAATAATACAATGAATTTCGTAGGAAGAATCATTTTTGGAAAACAGGATTGATGAAAAAAATATGTATGTTTTTCCGTTTACACGAAACGATGTGTAAAATTTCTCTTTCATTTTAAGTGTTTTAATTTTTATTTTTCGAAGCTTTGTCGCTCCTTTTCTGGAAAATATCTCAATCTATGTCATGGTATGAGCCTATGAAAGATCATAATGTAACTTGGTTTCTTAAAAATTCTCTAAATAAGGAGACATACAATAAAAGATAATGTATTTTAAATCACTTCGTGATGTTTCGAAGCTCAATCACTTATAATCGATATCGAATCACTTATTTGTCACATATCATACTTTTTAGCTAAATTTGAAATTATTCATGCATGAAATTAAAATTAAAAAAAACAAACAAATAAATGAGTTAATAATTCAAAATTCTATGTTCATCAAATAATGATACCGCATTAATAGGATAATCTTGTTGAAAAAGCTATGAAGCGATTTAATCTTTTCGAATAACTAAAAACAAATTACTGTAAAAAAGAAAAAAAATTCTTCAAAATCATTTTTGCATTACTCGAATGCAAACATTTATTTTCTATCTTTTCAAAAAAGATAGAAAGGATTTTTCTTCTCTGTTTTTTAAAAGATAAAGAATAGATTTATTTTTGAAACGTTAAGAGAGACAGATTGTAAAAATGAAACAAATACCATTTAAAATGAAATTATATTTTTATAAAAACTAAATTGCAATATAAAAAATGAGTTTTAATAAATTACACCTTTAATCGGAATACTCTGGGCGTTAAGAGAAAAACCTCTCAAGAATTATTAATTTGAACAGATTAGATTTTTTTATTATTTTGAATTTGGTAGTTGGAAGAAGCATTGAGAATAATATGATAAATAAGTAATTAATTTACCTAAAGAGTTAACGCGGTAACTTGATAGTTTAAATAACATAATTAAAAAAAAATATACATTTGTTAAAACAAGTTTTCCGTCAACGCAGGGATATGAATCAGAAGTTTAAAAAGATACAGAAAAATTCTTAAATGGACTTCTATTAAAAAAAATATAGGAAAATAAACAGATTAGTTTTGGTTTTATGTAAATTTAAAAAAAATCAATTGAAATATATAAAAATAGATTATTAAGCAATTAAAATGTGAAACATATAAAAGGAAACCAAAAAGTTCTATTACATTTTTATTTCAAACATAAACTTACTTTTTGTCTCTAGTACTTAACTGTAACCGAATAAAATATTTTATTCACTCCAAACTTAAATCACTTCTTGAAAAATATCTCTTCTTAAAAAAAAAAGTTGAACTTCGTTCTCTTAAATTATTTAAATCGAATACTATAAAGTATTAATTTAAATTTCTGTATCAATACTAATGAGTATTAAAAGAAGTAAATACCGCTGTGTACCAACACTTTTATGCTTCATTTGCGCAAGCGCGTAACTACAAAAAAGTTCTACCTATCACCTGCGTTCTAATGAACTCAGAGCACGCATGCGCAATTAAGTGGGGAGGGAGGGTGACAGTCAGATTGTCGGGGGATCGCACAGCCTGTGAATGACGTCGGGGATGAAGAGGAAGAGGGAGATTAAAAGATTGCAAGAACTTGATGATTGTCGTCTACTAAGCGTGGACGAGATATTTGTTTGTACAAACACTTAAATACTATAGCTGTAAAATTGTTGATGTAAAAAAATGATCGATATTATTTCGATTATCAACACTCTTGATTTGTTGATAAATTGTTAAAAGATGGCGGCATTTTTTAAAGCTTGTTTTAATTCTTCCGGTTTTTTCTAATTAATATTGTTAATATATTGGCAGAAATAGTTGTGATGAATAGAGTTTGAAGAGTGATTGAATCCTATTATTTTTGTGATTTAAGAAATATTTTGATTTTAGCATCATTTAAAATGTATGATTCTCCGTTAAAAAAAAAAAAATAATGATTTTAAGAGTTTTACCTAGGAAAAAATATATTTTTGCGTTTCAGGTGAAGTTAAATAATAACTTACAAAATTTATGTAAAATATTTTTCGCTTATTGGGCTAAAGTATTGGTGATTTCTTTGCCGATTTGTTACCAATACGCACATATTGGTATAAACAACTCATATTGAAGATTTACGAATGACTTATAAAGTATATTTTTAAATTATGAATTAATTATTAAGTATTTTTTTAATTATTTATTAACATCTGGTTAAATGGCAAAGAATACCATATAGCAGTACGTATACACAGATTGTTGTTGGATAAATCCCTAGCAAAAAAATTTTTTTAATATAAAAATTTTACCAGAATTTTTTTTCTCCGTATATGATTAAGAGACATTGGTGACTGTTGTGGGACGGAACTGGTAAAAATTAAATCAAGCAGCAATTAAACGTAACTTAATTTGCTGTTTTACGATTAACTATTAATGAGATATTGGAATTGTTTATTCTTGTTAAACTTGCTGCTAATATTTGTAACAAAAGGAAAAATAGTTCAAAATCCTTAGGGTAATCCTAAAAATCTTTAGACTAGGGATCTGTAAGAATGTGGATGAAAACAAATTACGTTGAATGTTTCCTGTAATCGAAAAAGTATCAAATATTAAAATAGAGAATTGTGTACGTCTTTGAAAGTAAAAATAGTAAGTATTATGAAAAAAGTTTTAGCTTGAAACTTTTCTTGTCATGCATGGTGCATAGTATACTTAAGTTCTAAACTAAGCTCAGTGGTCCGACAGCCGATAGAGAGCCAAAGCCTACTATCTGACCCTCTATGAGCTGTCGCGCCACTGAGCCCATAGAGGGCCAGTCTCAGTTTTCTTGACCTTGACTTCTGGGGTGCAGGAGCAGATGTTCCGGTTAGGTGGTCAGCCGAACGCGGAACCCCCAATGTTTAGTTTCCAAGCATGCTTGGTACTCATTCATCGACCCACTGACGGGGTGAAAGGCTGAGTCAACCTTGCCCAGGCCGAGGATCAAATCCAGGACCTATGGCAAGAGAGCGCAATGCGCTAACACTCAGCCACCATCCTTAAGTTTTTTATTTTTAATAAATTGAGAATAACACCTAGATTAATAAAACTTATGATTTTCCTTTGCAACATTATAGAAACGCGTTCTCTTACCCAAGTTATAGCAGAGTTCTATATTACGTTTGATAAAAATGCTGAGAATTTGCAGTTCAAGCAGAATTCAGTGTTTCTGTCACATTTTTCTTTATTTCAGTTAATATCTATATGTATATTTTTCTCTTACACGGTGACAAAAAAAGCCTCATTACAACTCCCCGAATGGCAACACTAAAAAATCGACCAATGATTGACCCTAAAAATGTCACAGGCCAAATCTAGATGAGGTGGCTCAACATATAGCGCTTTTAAAAACGGAAACTGAAATAACAGTTCAGCTGCGGCAATCACATACTATTAAGCTAGGCAGAAGTGAGTAGCCTTTGTCGATAGAGCTCTATTTTAGTATTTTGTCGAAAGCGCTTTTTTTCACGAATTTATGTATTACGAATTTATTTGACGATTTTTGATTTATATCACGAATTTATTTTTATTCATTGAATTTATTAGTTATTCATTGAAAAATGAGTCTCAGTCAATGAGTCTTTATTTGAATTCAAATTTATTTTAATGATATAGTATTTACTAAAAACATGTAATTTTTTTTTAAAAAAAAGTTGTTATATGGATTTGAATGATTGTTTTGAATTCTTAGAATTTTGTGCGTTAGCAATGTACCTAAGTTAGTAGCGAGCAAAGCGAGCTTGGTTTGTGAAGCAAACCGTATAAGATTGCGTAGCAATTTTCGGGGGTTGTCTAGCGTTAGCGAGCAGAGGGCGCAGCCCACTAGTTGTTTTTATTCAATTGTGATGTATGAACATAATGAAACGTTTTATAATGAACAACGAAAAATAATATTAATTTAATTTATTATAATTTATCATAGTTAAGTTTATCATAGTCATAGTCATTTATCATAGTAAGTTAATTTATCATAAGCTTTTATGTAATAAGAGAAAAGAAATTACATTTGTTTTTAAATAATTGTTTGGAAGAGTTGTAAACAAAACGTATAAATATGTATTTTAATATACACGAAAATAAATTTACTAGAATGAGAAAGCAAGAATGATATAGAAAAGCTAAAACCATTAAATCTAATTACAATTTATTTTAGGTCCTAAGAAAAAATATACCCTTTTGCCTCTCTTACCACTCGTCATTCTTTGGGGAAAAAATTCAAGCATTTTATTAAATAAATATCCTAACGATTACAAAAAATTATAAGTTTAATTATTTTCATATCAGTTGAGTCCAAATTCTTTACTGTATGGTAGATGTAGTTTCTTTGCAGAATTCAAGCATAATTTTTGGCCACTTCAGATACATTTTAATTTGGATATGAGGGAGGGATATTTTTCCCAGAAAAATAAATAATATCATTTAAGAAAATTGATTTATTATGTAAATATAATTTAATTAAAATTCGATTAAGAATGATTAAAAAAAATTTAAGAAATTAAAGAAATTTTAAAAGCTAGGAAAGATATATTGCCCATTTTAGCATCATAATTATGAAAGAAAATTATAAAATCAGCATCTGACAAAGAGATAAGTTTACAGTCGTTAAAAGGATTGGGGCACTAAAAGTTGCAATTTTCCAGCACTTTAAAAAAAAAATCACCGTTTTTTTCAGCATTACAGTGGAAACTCTTAAATTACATTATTACAGTATAACATGCCCACATTTTAAAATTATAAAAATAAAGAAAGTCTCTTAAAGGGATCACGAGAATTATTCTTGTTCTCTAATCTTTAGAGAATTGTTCTTGTTCTCGAAAAATCGTTAATTAGCTCTAGGGCTAAGAGTCCTGGCTCCCAGTCCTTAAAGTAAGTGAATTATACCCAACGGACAGTTAGGAGCATGGGAAGAGATCCATATTTTGCAATTTATCAAAAAATAACGTAGCCAAAAATGAAGCCAATCTCCCTTACTCAATATTAAATTTGAAAATAATTTGTTGAAAGCTAATGGCCAAAAAGACTGTTAGAATTAGTATTATCATGTAACTGAAACATTTTTGATGTTTGAAATAAAGAGTTATAAATAGATTCTGCTTTCGATTTAGCCGCGACATTGAATTAATGAGTTTTACATTTGTACTGAAATAAAAAGTTAGCAGTTACATTGATTGTTAAGAAAAAAATAAAACATTTATATTACCTTTATATAAAATGTAATTAAAATTAAATAATTGGTTTAATTTAATTAAAATTCGATTAAGAATGATTTAAAAAAATTTAAGAAATTAAAGAAATTTTAAAAGCTAGGAAAGATATAATGCCCATTTTAGCATCATAATTATGAAAGAAAATTATAAAATCATCATCTGACAAAGAGATAGGTTTACAGTCGTTAAAAGCATTGGGGCACTAAAAGTTGCAATTTTCCCGCACTTTAAAAAAAATCACCGTTTTTTTCAGCATTACAGTGGAAACTCTTAAATTCCTCTCTCCTGCATATAATTAAGTACAAAGAAAAACTTAATTTTAGAAATAGCTATACAAAAGAACAGGTCTCTTAGAAATTTTTTTTTATACTTTTTCAATACGGAAGCAAATATAGTCTAATTCCTAATATGGTTTCTAAAATTTCTTTTGTTTAATAGCCCGCATGTAAATTTCTTGCAACAAAAACTTCTAATCACATTAAGCAAAAATGTGTACTCAATCAAAACAAGGTAATATAAAATACATTAAAAGTTTTTTTTTCTTCTTTTTTTTAAAACAATTGCAGGCACTGAACTTTTGTCCATCGTCTCAGAAGATGCCGGAAGTTGCTCATTTATCGGCACCCATCGTAACATTATCATAATGGCACCTGTGAACCAAAGTCACGGAGGCGAGCAACATTACCCACGCCATACCGCCACAGAAGTCAGTTGATAGGATGGTCTGCATTCACACAACAGAGGACAACACATAGAGAAACATCCATGCCCTGGGAGGGATTCGGACCCACTGTCAGGCACGCTAACCACTCGGCAGCAACATTAGAAGTAAACGTTATGTTTTTCTTTTATGTATTATATTAAGTAGTTATGTTTAATAATTCCTTATAAACAATTTGTCAATAAATGATAAGGCATAGATACCATTTTCAGAATTTGTATTCTAGTTAACTCATCATCTCCACTCAGTCGTGTCGTATAACCATAACTATCATACACTGAAGAGCCAAAAAAACTGGTATACCTGCCTAATATCGCGTAGGGCCCCTGCGAGCACGCAGAAGTGCCGCAACACGACGTGGCAGGGATTCGATCAATGTGCGAAGTAGTACTGGAGATAATTGACACCATGAATCCTGCAGGGCTGTCCACAAACCAGTGAAAGTAAGAGGGTGTAGGGATATTTTCTGAAAATC